TTATATTAAAAAGAAAAGTGAGAAGAAAAAGAAAAAAAAAATGCAAGTGAGTAAAAGAAATTAAATTGTAAAATGACAAGTGAAATAAATCAATAAACAAATGTGTGGATGCTTGCAGTGTTGAGGTGTGGAGCAAACCCTGTCTGTTTGCATTGGATAAGTCAGTTCTGTGCAGTTACAACAATAACAAAACTAGTCAACAAAACCTTCCCTAATTACTGCAGTAGTAGGATAATAACCACAACGGCAATCAGACATCAATGACATTAACATCACATTTCTACACCTATTCACTGCTTTGACACAAGAATTACAGACAGTGTGTACAAAGCTCTTATCAAAGATGTGTTTCTTTGAGGAATCTAAATTTTTAACAATCTTCAACTTTTTTTTTCTTTTTTAGACTTTCGTTAGTTTGCTTGTTTGTTTTTTTACTTTGTGCATCCATGTTTCATTCCATGGTTGTTGTCTTTTGTTTGGCATTGTTGCCTCTATTCAACAATGACAGGAAAAAAGCCACAGGAGGAGTTGGGGATGAGTGCATTGGAATAGCATGCAGTGCAGACACAGCTTAGTGAGAAATCAAACCTGAGACTCGCCGTTTAAAGGTTGTGAACAAAAGTTGACATACAATTGTAAAGACCATGGATGTCATGGCAGTTTTGAGTGTTTAATCAATTCTACAGTTATTCATGTTCTATGATAGAATCACATTTGTCACAAATAACCATCAGGCATTTGGGTTCTGTCATAGATGTATCAAAGGTCAAATATTAGTATTGCTGTATGTTTATTTTTTTTTTGACAGATTTTGTCATGTTTCCAAAGGGCCTGTAAGAAATATATGAAAAAAAACAACAAAATGCATGTTTTTTGTGTGACAAAGACACATTCATTTCAATCATTTCATCACAGAAAATTAAGAGCTATAAGAGTCATTGGAAACTCCAGACTGCCATGATACACATGGTCTCTATAGGAAGATGGAAACTTTTGTTTGATTGCATATTCAAACACTCTGTATGCACCTTAACTGTATTTCTATTATATCCTGACGTCTTCAGTTTTGTTCAACAATCTAATAAACTGTCATGAATTAAAAAGAGAAAAGGGGGGAAAAAAACAACACCTTGAATAAGTGTCTAAGCTTCCGATTGGTTCCCTGCTATAAATGCAAAATAGAATGTGAAAAATAAAGAAGCAGCAAAATGCAAGCTTGCTCTTTTCTTTCTGGGCCTGATAACCTACTTTAAGGCAAGACTTGTGTGCGCAGTGTGAAATCTTCTGCTGCATTTCTGCAATTGCATCATGGGTCATACTCCAGCTCATACTCTGCCTTTGCCCTCATCCGGGTAACATGGTCCCACACGCACTGCAGAACACTGCCTAGCGCTGCTGTCTGCTGTGGGATGCGGCTTTCATTCTTCCCTCAGCATCGTTTGCGACGTTAAATTTCTGCAGGGACGTGTCCCCATCAGCTTAACACTTTCCAGCACTTAACGTTTACTGTGAAATGAAACAGTCGGAATGGTTACATGAAGGGATATTATCCACCATATAGGCTCCTACTCACCCTTTGGAGTGCAGTCCATCTGCTCCAGACACTCTGTCATTCCACCGCTACTGTTCTGTCAGGTCACGTACTTTCAGCATCACTGTGTGTGCTGTGAACACAACCACACTCACCATGCTGACGGCTCAGCACCTGCTCGAACATATTTGTAGTTGCAAATAATGTTCTTCCGTTCCGGAGCGGCTACATTCCTGGATCACTTCCTATTGGTCCATATCACCAACACACGCGCTGGAACA